TTTGTTATTTGATTATTATAGTTTTCAAAGTATAATTTATTTTCTAAAAAATTAAAGAAATATTATTATTTGATATTAAATATTTATTTTCTATTTTTTTATTCCTATGGATAGAATTGGGTATCCGATAAATTATACGGATTTTTCAGATATCAGAAACCCAAAATATCCTGAAGATGCTAAATCAAATCAGAAAATTGATTATTCATATATAATGGATCACAAATCCCTTTAAAATTTCGGATATCTAATCAGTGGCCACCCGAGATCATTTTACACGGCTGAATAATTTTCTTCACCATTATGTTAACTGATTTGGCGTGCATTATTTTAAATTTGCTTGCTTTTTTTGGCTGATTTACTTATTAAATTATGCTGGCTTGACGTGTACATTATTTGTTGATGTTTCTCAATGTTTGTGCTTCGACAATGCGTGTTTGAGTTTTTATGGAATTTTGTATTTTACAACAATGAAAAGTATGTATTTTCGTCATTCCTCAATTATTTGAAAGTCAAGTTTGAAAAGTTTTTTTCATTTTGATGAGTTGGGTTAATATATGTTTTGAAAAGTTTGAAAATATATGTTTTGTTGGTTAGTTATTTAAATTTATTTTAATGTAAATTGGGTTAATATAAAGCATTGACACATTTATTTGGAACCGAAAAATCAAAAGTAGACTGTTAACCAAACCAACATAACCTCTAAGAACACTAAAGATTACAAACTTCAAAAGCAAAGAGAAGTTGCATTAGATTTCATGTAAATTAAGAAAGTATGAAGAGCACACAATAATTGTAGCAAGTGCCCATCAAGGGAACTCTGAAGCCTTCTCTTCAGTTTGGTTTCCATCCCTTTCTTGGCCACAAAACATCTGACAAATTAGCGATGGCTGTTCCACCTTTTATCATTGCTGTTGCGAGAAAAGTTAGTCAACACCGTTACTTGAATGAGTTATATATTTCTGTTTTAAGTAGTTGAGAGAAAGAATACACACCATGATCTAGACGAAAACCATTAGAAATATGAAAGTGGCATGATTCTTATTCCCAACAGAGTTATTGAGCCACTGGTTACACACAAAGAGAAAGCTTATGGATAAACAAACAAACAAAAAAACATCAGTCTTAGATACAGGTGTTAAACCGCCAAACCTTACCCTGTAATAGTAATCAAATCCTTCAGCACACTCATTACATGTCCTGTAATGCTTACTACTGCGTTTTACCTAAATTAAACACAAAGATACCATATAAAGAAGTCGTAACTGTATTAACAAAAGTGGTTTGGAAAAAGAATATACAATGCTTACATCAATTCATCCATCAATTCTTTGATATTTTTGGTGCAAGTTTAGCTGAGACAGGTAACATATTATATCCTCATTGTTTGTTCAAACAAAAGAGTGATAGTTTATAATATCAGCACTAAAAATATATATATATTTATTGATAAGCTTGCTTTTGATTCTCCAGGGTGTCACAGGTGGATCCACTGAATGGATACTGGTCAAGTTCAGGGGATGGAACCGAGCTTGGGAGTGAGAGACGTGAGAGAAAAAGCTGGAAGGTGAAGATACATGATCTCTCGGCTCTGCTGTTGCTGCAGCTTTCATAACGACTCCTTTTGTCCCATCCACTGGCTGTGATTGGGTTGCCAAGTCAAATCTTGGTGCTTGTCATTTGGTCAAGCCTGACCCATGCCGACCAAATAGGTGGCAGCCTTGGGGAAAGCTGGAAGCATGGCGGGAACACGGGATCAGAGACTCTGTCTGTTGCAGGTTCCACATCCTTTCCAAGGGCAAGAAATTGGAGATGTTTTGATGTCTGAGATACTCATCAGCTAATCTGGTTCAGAGTTTTCTGCATCACAAATACAATAAGGCCAGAATAGGAATCAGAAGACGCACTACTGATTACTAAAAACCACGAAATCTATGGTTCTGGATCTTACACTTGGAAGAAACTAAATCAAGTTCTTGACCCAGATTAACATAAAGAAAGTATTCAGAACAACAAATAGATGAAACATTGATAGAAGATCCAAGGAACATACATAAGCTAGAAGTGCAGTCTCTTGTCTCATTCTCAAGCAAATGAAGATATTTTTTTTTGTTTTTTTTGTTAATACTATTTTCTTGGTGACCTTATAATTTTGTGTTTTCATACTCATAAGTGGTTTAATTTGATTTCACATGATCCCTTGTACATGCTAATAACATATGTTGACACCAAAATTGATTCTTATTTATGATGTTGAAGTGAATAATATCTTTTGTGCATTGCTTATAAAATTAGTTAGAAAAATTACACATGTAAATTATTTCACCTTTACATAGTTTGAGTTAATTGTGTCATAGAGATTAGCTTATTTTTTCGTTTGTTATGATTTGCAACAGTCTAAAATTTGATGTGTCATCATTTTGTATTAAGAAAATAAATCATATGTGAAAAAGTTTGTTTGGTTAGAAAAACATGTTTGAAGGTGATAGTGTAATCTTTCATTGGCATTATATGTGAGACTGGAGGTGAGAATTTTAAAGTAGCGTCATTGATATTCAAACAAATGTTATAGTTTTGTTTATGTACTCTATAGGTCTTTTAATAATTCTAACTTCGAGATTATTTGAATATTCATTTTTTTTGTTATCCAACTTAGAAGTAGTACAAAGAGTAAGAGCTTTTAAGAGGCTAAATTTGTGTTTTTTGTTTCATTTACTACTTTTGTTTTAACCACACGATTCAGGTAAAGTTAGGGATGAGTAAAATATCTGCAAAAATTTTTTTGATATGTTATTTGTTTCAATTCGACCAAAAAATTGAATATCATTAACTTTACAAATCTGAAAGCAAATATTTATTATTCAATATCTGTTAAAAACATAGCAAATAGAGAATACTAACATTTTCAAAAACGGATATCTGATCTAATCCATTACATACATATATATAATTATATATATATATATTATATAATTTTAAACCTCTGTATAAATTTTATATTATATTTATTCACTAAATTTGTTATTTGATTATTATAGTTTTCAAAGTATAATTTATTTTCTAAAAAATTAAAGAAATATTATTATTTGATATTAAATATTTATTTTCTATTTTTTTATTCTTAATTTTATTTGATATGTTATTTGTTTCGATTCGACCAAAAAAATTGAATATCATTAACTTTACAAATCTGAAAGCAAATATTTATTATTCAATAGCTGTTAAAAACATAGTAAATAGAGAATACTAACATTTTCAAAAACGGATATCTGATCTAATCCATTACATACATATATATAATTATATATTTATATATTATAATTTTAAACCTCTGTATAAATTTTATATTATATTTATTCACTAAATTTGTTATTTGATTATTATAGTTTTCAAAGTATAATTTATTTTCTAAAAAATTAAAGAAATATTATTATTTGATATTAAATATTTATTTTCTATTTTTTTATTCCTATGGATAGAATTGGGTATCCGATAAATTATACGGATTTTTCAGATATCAGAAACCCAAAATATCCTGAAGATGCTAAATCAAATCAGAAAATTGATTATTCATATATAATGGATCACAAATCCCTTTAAAATTTCGGATATCTAATCAGTGGCCACCCGAGATCATTTTACACGGCTGAATAATTTTCTTCACCATTATGTTAACTGATTTGGCGTGCATTATTTTAAATTTGCTTGCTTTTTTTGGCTGATTTACTTATTAAATTATGCTGGCTTGACGTGTACATTATTTGTTGATGTTTCTCAATGTTTGTGCTTCGACAATGCGTGTTTGAGTTTTTATGGAATTTTGTATTTTACAACAATGAAAAGTATGTATTTTCGTCATTCCTCAATTATTTGAAAGTCAAGTTTGAAAAGTTTTTTTCATTTTGATGAGTTGAAAATATATGTTTTGTTGGTTAGTTATTTAAATTTATTTTAATGTAAATTGGGTTAATATAAAGCATTGACACATTTATTTGGAACCGAAAAATCAAAAGTAGACTGTTAACCAAACCAACATAACCTCTAAGAACACTAAAGATTACAAACTTCGAAAGCAAAGAGAAGTTGCATTAGATTTCATGTAAATTAAGAAAGTATGAAGAGCACACAATAATTGTAGCAAGTGCCCATCAAGGGAACTCTGAAGCCTTCTCTTCAGTTTGGTTTCCATCCCTTTCTTGGCCACAAAACATCTGACAAATTAGCGATGGCTGTTCCACCTTTTATCATTGCTGTTGCGAGAAAAGTTAGTCAACACCGTTACTTGAATGAGTTATATATTTCTGTTTTAAGTAGTTGAGAGAAAGAATACACACCATGATCTAGACGAAAACCATTAGAAATATGAAAGTGGCATGATTCTTATTCCCAACAGAGTTATTGAGCCACTGGTTACACACAAAGAGAAAGCTTATGGATAAACAAACAAACAAAAAAACATCAGTCTTAGATACAGGTGTTAAACCGCCAAACCTTACCCTGTAATAGTAATCAAATCCTTCAGCACACTCATTACATGTCCTGTAATGCTTACTACTGCGTTTTACCTAAATTAAACACAAAGATACCATATAAAGAAGTCGTAACTGTATTAACAAAAGTGGTTTGGAAAAAGAATATACAATGCTTACATCAATTCATCCATCAATTCTTTGATATTTTTGGTGCAAGTTTAGCTGAGACAGGTAACATATTATATCCTCATTGTTTGTTCAAACAAAAGAGTGATAGTTTATAATATCAGCACTAAAAATATATATATATATTTATTGATAAGCTTGCTTTTGATTCTCCAGGGTGTCACAGGTGGATCCACTGAATGGATACTGGTCAAGTTCAGGGGATGGAACCGAGCTTGGGAGTGAGAGACGTGAGAGAAAAAGCTGGAAGGTGAAGATACATGATCTCTCGGCTCTGCTGTTGCTGCAGCTTTCATAACGACTCCTTTTGTCCCATCCACTGGCTGTGATTGGGTTGCCAAGTCAAATCTTGGTGCTTGTCATTTGGTCAAGCCTGACCCATGCCGACCAAATAGGTGGCAGCCTTGGGGAAAGCTGGAAGCATGGCGGGAACACGGGATCAGAGACTCTGTCTGTTGCAGGTTCCACATCCTTTCCAAGGGCAAGAAATTGGAGATGTTTTGATGTCTGAGATACTCATCAGCTAATCTGGTTCAGAGTTTTCTGCATCACAAATACAATAAGGCCAGAATAGGAATCAGAAGACGCACTACTGATTACTAAAAACCACGAAATCTATTGTTCTGGATCTTACACTTGGAAGAAACTAAATCAAGTTCTTGACCCAGATTAACATAAAGAAAGTATTCAGAACAACAAATAGATGAAACATTGATAGAAGATCCAAGGAACATACATAAGCTAGAAGTGCAGTCTCTTGTCTCATTCTCAATCTAGCAGCTTTTCTGTATGCAATCCCAGGCTTCTTCTTTCTATTTTGAGCTTCCTCTCTGTCTCGGCAGATCCTGTTTGTTGTATCTCTGTCTCTCCATCTCTCATTGATATCTAACGCTTTTTTCTGATAATTTGTTAACATTAAAATCATCAAATTCCAAAAGGATATTAGTATGTCATCAAAGATAGGGTTTTTATAAGAATAGAAATACAGGGAGGTGGAAGAATATGAACGTTTATCAAGATAAGAGTTAAGAAAGGATTGAATTTATTTTCACAGAAAACTGTATACAGAGATCAAGTGATGGAACCAAAACCAAACGATGTCGCTCACTACTCGTGTTGGTCGGAGACGATGAAGAGATCTGGTGGTTCTAGATTCACTACAAAAAGAAAAGTTAATACGCCAATATACAATGGGATAAACAAACTTGTTTCAAATATTACAACTGTACAACGAATCAGATCAAACCCATAAACCCTAAATCTGAATAAACGTCAGAAGTGAATACCCCTCGTTTCTCTGAAACTTCCCTTGAAATCCGTTGGAGAGATCCAGGATTAGGTTTCGATTCGCCAGCTTCGGGAGACGAGGGAGGACCATTCAATGAATTGATAACTATATTAGATCCCTTAGGCGTATATGCCGTCTGGTTCTGGAAGGGAATTGACCACTGGATCCAACAAAATGCTTCTTCTTCCAGTGGCTCTTCCTGTGGTTCGTCGGAGTTATCTACTCGTCAAAGAATGGTGTCGATTCAGTTGAGAAGATGACACGATGAAGAAGAAAGTGAAGAAACAGAGAAGTGATGGCGTGATAGTTTCCCAGGGTTCGCAAACCAGTTTCGTGTGCTGACATGTCAATTTAGAAGCTTCTTATTGGATGATTATTTCTGGTGATGTGGACAGTCTCATTGCTCTAGAATAAGAACTTTTAATATTGTTAGATTGATATATATATATGACCACACGTCAGACAATTTACTTTTCTCTATATGTTTTGGAGAGTGGAGCCAGATCTGACTGTTTAGATACTTACAAGTTACAAAAAAAAAAAGACAAATTCTTCTAAAACCTACAAAAACAGAATCAATCTTACTAACCCCAAACAATTCAATAAAGAACCTTACATAACGAGATGAAATGGTGCAAGGTTTACTAAACCATCAGCTGTTTTATAACCGCACAACAAGGATAACCTTCTCTGTAAACGCATTCCCCGGCTTTAAAGTTTCCTCTTTTCACATTGAATTTTTGATTCATACGGATTAGGTACGTTTCGTATTTTTGCCTAGTTTCTTTTCGGTCTCACTACTCCACAAACCCAAAAATCAAAAAACAATAAACAAAAAACGGAATAGACCCCTGTTTCTCCCATATTTTTTAAACCGGAAAAACACAAACCAAAAGGTCTAACACAATAAAAAGATTACTGCTAAATCATAGAGATGAGTGGCGATGTACAGAGAACTAAGAAGGAATACAAAACAATAACTCACAGGTTTGATATTAACTCAGACTTCCTTTAGTTAATCATATTCCTCCTCAGAAGTAGCAAGCTTCTGCTTCTTCCATTTGAAAGCAGCTTCAAGAATCTTGAGATTTGTTGTCTGTGATTCTTCCGGATATAGATAGTCAATGTATTCTTCATACCTGCCAAAGTTTCAAACAAAATTTTCACAACAAGCTTTAGCATTCCCATTATCAAATTCCAAAGACACCAAAACTGAGAAATGATATAAGTATGCAAAACGTACTCTGTAGAGCCATCTTCTCTTGTGATTGGCTTTCTCTTCTTGAGCTTCTTCGGAAGCTTAGATTGTACGACACTCACGTCCCCGAGATTACCAAAGTTTGTCTCCATGTTAAGCCAATCCTCCAAGAGTGTAGCTCTTTCCTCTTTCAGCTCTGGTGCGGAGTCTTTGTAGTAGCTGTTGGCTCTCTCGAAAATCGCTGAGTAGAAGCAAGAAAATAGAGAGAGAGACCCAACAGTTAAAACATGCCGCAAGGAATCATTAAAACTTATATAACACGTAGTTTTAAAGTTACCTCTGGCGCGTCTGATGCACTCTTTCTTGCGTTCAACAGCATCTGTTTCTTCTTGGTCTTCCTCTTCCTCGTCTTCTTCTTGTTCCGCAGCAGAAGCTTCAAACTTTGCAAAACTAACCCACACCTTGTAATGCTTTGTGCGGTCCAAGAGTCGCTCATATAAAGCTCGTGTCCTCTCTAATTCTCCTTCTGCTATCTCAAAATCTATGTATGCCTGCGACACAAAAAATACATATAGAGAATTTAATGATTCAATCGATTTGAGAAGTCTGAGGTTTCTCGATTCTTTTAATGTATTATTAGACAGAAAAAGTAATACCTTCCATAGCAGCTCGGGCATGTCAAGAGCTGGCTGAGATATTGCTAACTCAAAGATAGCTCTAGCTCGTTCAGTCTCAGCAAGAGACCTCTCCAGCTCAGCATACTTGCTCCAAGCATAACAATTCTCAGGAGACCACTCCAGGTACCGCTCATAAAGTTTTCTACACCTATCTATGTTTCCCAGCTGGAGTTCAATCTCAATGTATTTCTTGAATATCTGTTTGTAGAGGAAGCAAAAAAAAAAAACCATAGGTAAACCATATGTGTTTAAACGAGAGCAATGAAACATATAACGTTCAAACAAATTTCAGGATTACCTTATCTTTTGGAGCTTTTCCAATAGCGTTTCCTAATATCTGCCGAGCACCGGCCAGATTTAATTGCCGGATTTCGAACTGTGCAGCAAGCAACCATATTTTGGCAAAGGAAAATTTGGAGTGGGGGATGAGCTTGAGGCATTCTCTGTAAATGTTTGGTAAGACGAATACAAACAGTCAGCAGTCTAAACTGCCTCAGTGAAACGTAAAGGAATGAAATTTCACAAGTTAAAGAATAGGTAGGCAATGGTGTACCTGTAAACATCTCGAGTACGCTCCACATCTTCAGTTTCAATCTCTTCATACAATGCATAATTAATCCTACACCAATTAGTTACATCAATGTCAGTGTTTCAGTAAGTTGCAGAACCAAATATGCTCAAAACAGCAATAGCTTTCCACAAAATGCAAGAATATGTTTCAATAAATTTATTAGAGACCTGAATGTGCTAATATATGCCTAAGTCCTAAGGCAACCAAACAGAAACAGTCCAGTTACTGTTAAAGGAAACTAAACTTAACCCGCTTATGGAAACCATGTACCCAACCAAATAATGCTAATCAAAGACAAACTAGACTATCATTTCCACAGAAAGCAAGTTTCAATAGATTAAGGGACTATGATGTGCTAAATCCTTGACAAAGATGATAACAAAACTTAACCTTCTTATGCAAACAACGACTAACATAAGAAGCCAATGACATTATTACCAAAAGCAGTAAACCAAAGTGGAAAAGAATAAAAACTCACCAGAGATAGATGTATCTTTGCCAGTATCGTTTCTCTTCAGCAGGTGGAATATTAGCAATAGCCCTCTCATAGATCTCTCTTACCCTATCTTTGTTCCCTACAGTTTCCTCAAGCCTAACGTAATCAAACCAAGAATCATAGTTCAAAGGATTCTTCCTCACTTCATCTTCATACTGAAACCTCCTCTTCCCAACAATAGCGTCCTCAATCCCTTCCTTATCACCATACTGTTTCTCAAACGCCACAAACTTCTTATACAAATCCTCAGCTCTCCCTTTTGGGATATGATCAAGAGCAAACTTGTAGATAAACCTAGCACGCTCCGGCTCCTTGCACCGTTCCTCAAACTCAGCAAACGCCACAAAGAGCGTCTCGGCTTCCTCATCGTCCGCAAGCTTCTCAGTCGCGCGCTCGTACACTTGCCTAGCACGTGCAACCTCACCTCCTTTCATCTCAAACTTAGCAAATCGGATATACGCAGACACCTTGGGATGGCAAAGCACGAACCTCTCGTAGATTGATCTCGCGCGTTCGATTTCGTTATACCTAAGCTCGAATTTGATAAAAGATAACCAACCTTGCTGGTCAGGCGACCACTGCATCCACCGCTCGAATATCTGTCTAGCCCCCGCGATGTTTCCGAGTATCTCCTCCATGTGAATGTACTTGTACCAGAGCTGGTCAACTCTAGGGAGGAGCGTAACGGCTCGGTCCCACACGTTTCTAGCGCTGTTAACAAACTTGTTCTTCATCTCGAACTCGGCGTACTTTAGCCACAGCGTGTGGTTACGGTAATCGCCTTCGATGGCGCGTTCCCACACGCTCCGAGCGCGCGCGTAGTCCTTCTGGGACTCCTCCCACTGCGCGTACTTCATCCAGACCTGGATGTTCCATCGCGCGCGGCGGATCTGGTCCTCGAACTCCTTGCGGCGGCGGAGGCGGTAGTCGGAGAGCTCGGTGGAGTCGGTGATTTTCTGTTTGGGAGGACGGATCTCGGCCTCTTGTCGCTCGCGAGCTTCCCTTAGAATCTGCTCGGCGGTGATTTGAACCGGGGCGGGAGTTTTGTTCTTGACCCGGGTCGGGCGTGGAAGCTTGACTTCGGTATCCTTCCGGGTCATGTACCCTAAGGTACGGTCCGAATCCTTGCCGGACGCCATGAGCTCTGTGTGTTTTCTGGGGGTTTCTAAGATTTGGGGAAAAAATGCAAGGAAAGACGCGTATGATTGATTATATATTTTTGTGTCTTTAATGGGCCATTTTATGTATCCTAATATTGACCCAATATATATATACCAAACCTACTTGTGCGAACTGTTAGAAAATCCCAAGTCTCTGGAAGTTTTGACAAAAATATATTTTTAGATATATTTTTGTCAAAACTAATGTTAATTCTTTTCAACAACATGCAACAGTCTGTTCTCAATTAGTAAGGATAGTATCGACACCAGAAAAATGATCAATTTTTACTATTCAAATAGACGGATTTCGATAATGTAAGAAAATCTTCCCTAATTTTTCGACTAAACATATATGAAGAGCATATAACACAATTTGTCTAAGTATCTAAAACTCTACTTTCAAACCAAAAACAGAGAGTATCACTGAAATTTTAATCCCTTCTTTTTGAGAAGGCTAAATTTATTCCACACATTATTTTTTACTAACCGCTAAAATAGGATCGGTCCTGGCTAAATTGGATGAAATGTTGGTGTTGGACCTCCAAATTTTTTGAAGAAAGTTATTTTAGCAACCTAACATTCTATTCAATCTAACAACCTAAATTCCATTCTGTTCTAACAACCTAACAGTTCATTCCATCCTTACACTTAACAATTTTTGCCTTTAAATATACAATTTAACTTTATTTTTCCTCATCCTCGACCCCGAAGATCACTTACGGCCCGAAGCCAAACATACTCGACCCGTAGCCATCATACTCGACACGACGGTCCCTCATACGGCCGAAGCCACTCGACCCCGTAGGACCATCATGGCCGAAGCTAACATACGGCCCGAAGCCAAAACAATCGTAACATATTTTACACTCCGAAGCCAAAACTTTCATATCATCTTTTACGGCCCGAAGCCAAAACCTACTTTCCTTATTTCTTATCATTTCCTTAATCACGTACTTTCCTTAATTACTTCATACCATAACCAGTTTTCTTAACCTATTTATTTTAAAACTCCATTCATTTTTAGATCAATCTTATGTTCTTCACATAAACATTACCATTCATTTTACAATCAATACAAACAATCTAGCATGCCATATATTCTAAGAACGCGAAAAACGTTTTCCGATCTCTGAAATTACTTCAAAGAACGAAGAACGAACTTTCCATATAACACACTATTCATTCATACATCCTAACATATACACATTTAATTCGCTATTGTCTATTCTATCAAGTTGCCACGAATCACATCCTCATCTTACCTGAATCTCAATGCTTCGAAGACTCTGAACTTCCTATCATTTTTTTGGCGAACACTCTTGCGCTCCTCCTCGTTAGATCCTCCTTCTCGAACTCTCCTCTCCAAAAGATCGTTTACGCTCTGACTTTACTTTGGGCTCGTTTTGAATTTTGTGTCAGAATGAGAGCTGAAGCTCTCCTTTTATACTACTCTTCGTACTTACCCACCAAGCGGGGCATTTAGTGCTCCTTCTTTATTTGGTTTGGTCAAACTTTGCCCCATGTTTTAGAGAATCTCTACACTTCTTTTCTTATATGATTTCCGCAGTTCCGATCCTTCTTTCATACGATCCCGTCACTTATACTCGATCAAACTTGACTTAATTGGAACCCGCGTTCCCCCTTGTACAAACTTTCCTTAGTTGGACTTGCAGTCCGTTATTATCACTATTTGATCAGGTCCTTGATACATAGTCTAAGTCCAAAACATTTTGGTTACAAAGAACATTCGATACATAGAGAAAAATCAACTTCTTATTCCTTTCATACTGGAAACAGTGTTCCAACTCTTAGAAAAATATTATTCCCTTACAATCAAACCTCTCTTCGAACATATAACTCCAAAAATAAAAATACTCTGAGAGCAGTCTTTACAACTCTCCCCCACTTAATAGGTATTCGTCCCCAAATCCACATCTACCATATGCTCATCCACTTGGGTCTCGAATAGCTCTGGATATTCAGCCCTCATCATGCTTGCACGCTCTTTGGCAGTCTCATGTATGGCTCCCACAATACTTTGACCATTGGTACCCTCTTTATTTTAATCTGCTTGTCTGGAAGCCTTGACACTTTCAAAGGGTTTTCACGAGTCACAAATCAGATTCAAAATCTTCAGACGGTTGTGACACAATCAATGCTGGATCTCTTACCACCTTCCTCAATTAGGACACACGGGCAATTCCAAGCGATAAGCCACTGGTCTAGTCCGTTTGACTATCCTAAACGGTCCCATATACCTTGCTTGCAAATTCTCCATCTTTGAAGTTATATTCTTCCCCTTAAATGTCACCCTCTTCAAACTCTCCCACATAAAATTCTAACTCCTTTCATCTCTTGCCTGCGTAGCTCTCTTGGAAGTCTTGGGACTCCTTCATTTTCTCCTTGAAAAATTTAATCATTTCCGTCGTCTCCTTTATCACCTTTTGTGAAAGTTCCCGGCCCTCCCCTACTTTGATATACCACAAGGGACTTCGACGCGGAAACATACAAGGCTTCATACGGCAACATACCGATACTCGAGTGGTAACTGTTATTGTACGCAAACTCCGCTAGTGGTAAGTGCTTCTCTCATAATTTTCCTCAATCCACTACACAAGTCTGCAGTAATTCTTCTAATGATTGGATTGTCTGCTCCGATTGCCCATCTATCTATGGGTGGTATGATGTGCTCATATGCACCTTAGTTCCCAGAGCTTTCTTGAATCACAACCAAAAATTTGAACTAAATCATGGATCTCGGTCTGACACAATGCTATCAGGAATGCCATGAAGTTTCACGATCTCCTTCATGTAGAGTTCAACACATTTATCTACGCCATCAGACATTTGGAATGGAAGAAAATGCGCCGACTTAATTAAGTGGTCCACTATCACCCATACTGAATCTTTACACCCATTGGTCTTCGGGAATCCGGACAAAAAGTCCATTGTGATCATATCCAACTTCCACTTAGATATTGGTAAACTCTGCAACAACCCACTCGGAACCTGATGCTCTTCTTTTACCAACTGACATGTCAGACACTTGGCTATCCATTCGGCTACATTTCTTTTCATTCTTTGACCAACGATAATACCGTTTAAGGTCATGATACATATTTTTTGCGCCCGGGTATATGGAGAATTTACACTGGTGCACTTCTTTCAATACTTTCTGCTTCAATTCCTTATAATTTGGAACACACACACGCCCATTGAAGATGAATATCTTGTTATCAGTCTTCCAATATCCCACAACATCATCCTCGATCATCTTAAGCAACGCCAAATCCTCCCATTGGGCAAATCTTATTTGAGTAAGTAAGTCCGCTTGATTGGCAGTTTCCTCGCCTAGATGACTGACTCGTCTACCAACACATTAACCTGCAACATTCCCAACATCAAAATTAACCCTCCTACTTCCCTTTCCGTTGAGACACTACACCTTCGACAACTCAATGCATCAGCCACTAAGTTAGCCTTTCATGGGTGATAAGTTATCTCTAAATCATAATCTGCCACCATCTCCATCCACATTCTCTGCCTTAGGTTCAATTCCGGCTGAGTAAAAATGTACTTAAGGTTCTTATGGTCTGTAAACACCTAAACTTTTTCTCCATACATATATGACCGCCAAATATTAAGCGCAAACACCACCGCCGCTATCTCCAAATCTTTAGTGAGATAATTCTCCTCGTGTTTCCGTAGTTGCCGAGATGCATAAGCAATCACGTGTTCTTCTTGCATCAAGACAAAACCGAGTCTCATCTTCGATGAGTCTGTGAAAACAAATACACCACTCCAGAATGAGGCAGTACCAGAACCAGTGTACTTATCAAATGCTCCTTCAAGCTCGAAAAGCTCTTCTCACATTCCGTTGTTCACTCATACTTCACATCTTTACCCGTCAGCCGAATCAATGGCTTAGCTAAGCTCGCAAAACTTTTCATGAACCGACGATAATAACTTGTCAATCCTAGGGAAATTCTGATTTTCATGGGGATTTCCAGGCCTCGGCTAATCCGCAATTCTTGCAATTTTTTCCGGATCCGCTGCAACTTCTTCTTCAGAGATAACATGGCCAAAGAATCCAATCTTCTTCTGCTAAAAACTATACTTGCTTAGATTAGCAAACAAATTATGCTCTCTTAGTTTCTCCATGACTACCCTTAAGTGTCCCTCGTGTTCTTCTGAACTTTTTTAGAGCACTCGAATGTCATCTATAAAAGTATTTACGGATACGTCCAAGAACTCATGGAACACCCCGTTCATTAAATTCATGAACTCTTCCGGAGCATATTGTCAATCCAAGGGCATGACCACAAAATTAAAATGGCCGTACCTTTTCATGAATGCGGTCTTCCTAACATCTCCTTCAGCAATAAGAATTTGATGGTAATGCCAAATCAATCTTTGAGAATCATGATGCTCCCTTGAGCTGTCCAATAACTCATCGATCTTAGGCAACATATACTTATTCTTGATCGTCACTTGGTTCAGCTCTTGATAATCAATGCACAAAAAAAAATTACTATCCCTCTTCTTGACAAACAACACTGATCCCATGGCAAGCTTCTGGGTCCGATGAAACCTTTCTCGATTAATTCATCCAGTTGGTTCTCTAATTCTGCCATCTCCGTTGGATCCATGCGGTAAGGGGTCTTGGAAATAGGAGTACTTCCATGCTCTAAATCTATCATGAATGGCTCGTCCCGTGATGGCGATAATCCGGTGAATTTTTGGAATAGATCTACAAACTCTAGCACCACCGGAATATCACCCTACAACACTTCTTGGTCTGCATCGGCAATGGTGATTGTTGCAATGAACGACTCACTTAGTTTCTCAACCATCTGCTCTGTCCTTAGAGCCGATATTACTGGAATTCAGTATCCTTCTTCTTACCTTGGAACAAAAGCTTCCCTTCTTTTCGAGTAAAGTTCACTTGGTATTTCTCACAGTCCAAGCTAGCTTGATAATGGGCTAACTAGTCCATTCTAAGGATTGTTTCATACCACTC